AGAAGAAGAAGAAGAAGAGAAGAAGAAGAAGAAGAAGAAGAAGAAGAAGAAGAAGAAGAGGAAGAAGAAGAGGAGGAAGAAGAAGGAGGAAGAGGAGGAAGAAGAAGAAAGAAGGAGGAGGAGGAGGAGGAGGAGGAGGAGGAGGAGGAGGAGGAGAAGAAGAAGAAGAAGAAGAAGAAGAAGAAGAAAGAAGAAAGAAAAGTGCAGCCACTTCCTTGTACTTGTGGCATATTAAGGAACATTGCTAATTAGAACCAACTCCAAGATGGCCCTACAAGAGGATGCCTTCTCCATATAATGACCACTTAAAAAAACCACAAAACAATGTGTGTTTTGGAGAAGAGAGCATATGTCTGTAGCCCTGGCTACACGTGGCAGATATGGTACATGCCACCTGTGAGGTGGCCTGGTAGCACGGGAAGCCTGGAATGGAGCAAGGTGAGGTCACTAAGTGAACAAAGTGAAGCTAATTTAGAACTCCAAATAAGAACGATTGCCTATGTCCCACTCATCCTTTACGATTCCAAAGTTACTGATTATACATTTGGAGCCTAGAAAATTGTCAAGTTAATGGCCATTCATTGCTCCATTTGAGACATGCGTCTTAGTCTGCCATAACAAAATACCTTCATCTGGGTAGTTTCAGCAACAGAAATTTCTTTCTGGCCGTTGTGGAGGCTACGATGTGTAAGATCAGGATGCCAGCATGGCCAAGTTCTGTCCGAGCCATCTCTGGCTTGCAGAAGGCCGCCTGCTTGTTGTGCAAGAGCAGGCTTGGTGGTGTCTCTTCTTATAAGGGCCTTAATCTCATCATAGGGTTCCCACCCTTCTAACCTCATTTAGACCTAATTATCTCCCGAAGTCTCCATCTCCAAATAACATCATATTGGAAGTTAGGGCTTCAACTTATGAATTTGAGGGGGACACAATTCAGGCTAGAGTAATATGCATTGGTTATCTGCTGTGTGGAGGTTCTGGGCACACTTCTCCTATCTTCTTCACACCACAGATTTGGGAAACAGAGGACTTTAGGATTGACATAAATTACTTAGGCTGCCAGCAAAACACTAGAAATGAAAGATTAGTATTGACTTAGGAGTTTCTTTTAGCAAAACATTATTTCCAAAGAACACATGCCATTTTGCTTAAAAAACAGGTCATTCAGAACTCACTGTCAAAACTTACCCTTTGGTTTGTTTTATAGATATGTTGACTCTTCGGCTTTACCTTTCTTTTTCTCCTTGTTTTGGCCAACTAAAGGACATAACTCTATACTTTTGGGGACTGATAGACTATACCATTTCATTTTAGACGGGTTTAGATGTTCAGAGACTTGACATATTTCACATACTCAGTTGGAAAAGTTAGCATCATCTTGGGGAATAAAAGAATTACCTGCAATTAAAAGTGGTTTCATTTAAAATTGGCCTCTAAGGGATTCTTATGTTAATTATACTGATGTTCTATTCATAACAATAGAAGACTATTGAACCAAGGAAAGCTTTCAGGCAAGGACCCCTGCTGCAGAAAATGTGTAGCTTCCTGTTTATCTTTAAACAGCAAAGGTGAAACTAAATCTGTTATAAATTTGCAAATGTGTTCCAAATGGGTGAAGGTCATACGTAGCTGCATTTAAATTACAGGAATTTTAAGTACCCTCTCAGGCGTTTTTATTGAAGGTGCAAAGCAACAGTCAAACCCTAAACTTTTACTAAGCACATGTTACCCAAGACACGGTAGGAGAATGCCATGATGAAGCAGCTTAGGTTCCTCTGAACAGAGGAACCTGTGCCATGATTCACGGTCCCCTCAAAATGATTCTCTTAATAGGTAAACTATGATAAAGAGTTTTAGAGGTATAAAGAGTATGCTTTGCATGTATAGTCTGATGACAGGCCCAAATCATGACCATTGTCAGCAAATGTGCAATGTTCAAGGTGCTGAAATCAATGGTGGCGTAAAGAGATCTTTGCATACATGGTTTTCTATACTTGAATCATTTTTCCCCCATCCAATTTCCCTCCGGTTCTTTCTCCATTAACCCTTACCCAAATTTTACCTAATTCCAACTGCTCTTCAGAGCTCAGTGAGCCTCTGATTTCTCTATGCAGCCTCCTCTGAGGCCTGGGCCTGGGTTGGGCTAACTTATATTCCTAGTATAACCTGTGCTCAGCCTATCAGGGGACTTATGACTTTACATTGTAATTGGCTGGCTTTTTGTTTATCCACGACACTTAGAGCAATGCCAAGCACATAGTAGGTGCTCAATAAATATTTGCTGAACAAGTCAATGAAGGGATGAATGTTCTAATTCTTCATGATTCTAGATTATATGTGAAAAACCTCTTAGTTTAATGGAATGGTTGAGTGATTATTTCTGCAAGTTCGGCTTCTATTCTTTTATTTTTTACTGAGACCCTTAAAGCCTTGTATTGACAGTCAAGAGACCTGGGATCTGTTCTCAGGCCTGTCTGACAGGTTGCATGATCATAAGCAGGTTGCTTCGTCTGGATCTGTGTTGTCTCATCACTAAATAGAGGTTTTAAGACTAGCTTATGCTCTTTATCCAGAAGTGCCCATCAGAATGACACTTACAAATACAGGTAGTCACTCATGCTAGTGTCCGGCCTCTAGAGATGTGGATTCAGCAAAATGAGTTAACAGATAGCTCAGGCTCCTCTCCCTTCCCTCTGTACCACCTTGGTCTAAGGCCCATCACCTCTCATGACCTCTGACTGTGCCTTTGACCAACACTCTGGTCTCTTGGCCTCACAGCCCCCATCCTTTCCTTCTTCTAGACTATTGATGTCCTTCTGAACATTTTCCTCAAACTCTAGCTGTATGAGGTTGTGATCTGACCCAGTAACCACAAGTGGCTTCCTGTAGCCCACAGAAACCCTTCAATCAGAACTACATTCTGCTCTTCCTGTCTACCTCCTCTTGTCCACTGAGAACTTTTCAGACCAACAACGTGGTCTCCTTTCTCTCCATAAACAATTGTTATCCTTGCCTCTGTGCTGTGATCCCACCGTTAACCCCTTGTTTTACTTCTTTCTGCCTCTATTCCATCCCATGAAGTTTTCCTGGAATACTCCAGTCCATATTGTTTTCTGTTTCTTGGAAATCCTATAAAACATATTGCTCATGCCACTCATATTATTCAGTGATAGTCTGAGATGAGTCAGTAGCTTAATGTGATTTCTTCTTTATCCTTAATTCTTCATCTTTTAAAAGGTTGGAATTACTTCTTCTTTATACAGTTCTTATAACTCTCATAGTACCCAAAACATGAAATTCAGCAAATGCTTTTGAATTGAATGATTACAGTAGTTTCAGACCCTCTAGATATTAGGTGGTGGTATTCATGTATAAATTCATTCATTTTTTCATTTATTCAGGCTCCAGGGGACAGAAGAAATCAAGAAAGTCTCCGCCTTAAAGGGCTTCCAGACTAGTTGAAAAAAAAGAAAAGAAAAGAAAAAAGTATGGAAGGTGCTATGAGGAAAACTAAAGTATAGTAAGAAGATAGAGACTGTGTTTATGTGAAGGGTAGGGGTGTTTAGGAAAGCTGTTTTGGTAAAGTGACATTTGAGCATAGACTGTAATAGAATGAGGGAGAGGCCACGTGAATATCTAGAAGAAAGACATTTCAGGCTTCTGGAATAGTAGGTGCAAAGGCCTTGGGGCAGGGATGTACTTGACATGTTCAAGTTGTAGCAAATTGGCTGGTGTGGCTGGAATGGAATACAT